TGCCATTTCTTTCTCCAGCTCATTTTACAAATGAGGAAACTGAGGCAAACAGGATTAAGTGTTAAGCCCAGAGTCACACAGCTAGTAAGTGTCTGAGGCCAGATTTGAACTCTGGAAGATGAGTCTTCCTGACTTCAGGCCTGACACTCTTTCCACTGTGCCACCTAATTGCCCCTGACTCAGCCAGTTCACTTTCCATTTTACCTGTCTGCTTCTATGCGGTTTGTTGCCTTGACACATTTACTTAGTCAAAGTTAAACCTTTTGTTCTTCAGAGTTCCCAAGGAAAGAGAGGAATGAAATATTTATTAAGTACCTACTATTTGTCAGGCACAGTGCTAAGCACTTTATAAATATATCATTTGATCCCCGTAACAACCCTGGGAGGAACCTACTATTATTATAATCTGTATTTTACAGCTGAAGAAACTGATGGAGAAAGAGGCTGAGTGACCTGTGCAGGGTTACACAGCTTGTAATGTCTGAAGCTGTATTTGAACTCAGGTCTTCCTGACTGTCCCCTGTGCTACCTAGCTACCCAGGGAAGCCAAAGACTGAGTACCAACAAAATGAACCCACAGAGAGTACAAAATATTTTAATTATCAAGCACTGTATGAAGGAATAAGTAGAAATTACTATTCAGCTACCACACCAGACCATTGAAAGTGAGAAGATAGAGATGGAAAGCAGACAATTACAACCAGGGATGTGACAGCAAGCCAAGTTGTTGTTAGTGGCGGTGTTCAAACATGTCCAACTCTTCTTGACCCCATTTAGGGTTTTCTCGGCAAGGATACTGTATTTTACAGATGAGGAAGCTGAGGAAAACAGGGTTAAGGGACTTGCCCAGGCTGACATAGCTAGGAAGTGTCTGAGGTCAAATTCTAACTTAGGCTTAACACTATCCACTGTGCCACTAGCAAAGAGGATGAGGCTAATACAAAGAATGAATCAGGCAAATACAAAGAATGAGTGCCAAGCCGAAGGTCACCAACAGTTGGGACATTCCAAGCCAAGGTAATAAGATCAGGAAAAGCAGAATATGAACAGGGAGACAGAGATAGTAACAAGGACTCAAGCAGGCATCCAAATCCAGAAACCAGACAGAGGGGTTAGAACCAAGAGGAAACATGTGAGAGACAGGACTGGAACAAAAAGAGACGAGGTCAAAATCAGGCAGTGCTAATCACCAGGTCAGCTCTCTGCCTCAGGCCTAGAAGCATGTATGACCTTCCCCAAAAGGCCAGTCCTTGGAGATCTTCAGGACATGGCAAGTGGAAACACCTGGCTGGATTGAGGAATGGAAGAGTGATGAATACCAAGATCACCAACATTGGGATAATTTGTGAGCTGTGCTTTATGAGTAATAAAGCACATTTAAAACTCTCAGTGAAAAGAAAGACATCCATCCCCCTCCTTATGCCCTCAGATTCCCTAGGCCAAGAAGAGGTCTCATGGTTCACTCCTTGCCCTCTAGTGCCACTTCCAGATGCTCATTCTGCCCCCATCACTTAATAATCTCCCCTCCTTTGAATTTTATACCACCTGGTTATCTTTGATGAATTTGTGTCACCTGGCCAAAATGAATCACATCCTTGGGCACTGAAGGAACTGGAAAATATGATTGCTGAGTCTATTAGCACAATTTGAAAGATCATAGAAAATGGGAGAGGCACCATAATGTTGGAGAAGAGTTTATGTCCCAGTTTTCAAAAAGGAGGAGAGAATAACTGTTTGCAAGGAGTTTGACTGTGATTCCTAGGAAGATTCTAGAATGAATTATTAAAGAGATAGAAACCACCTAAAATGGGGATGGGGGGGTGAGGTTTGCAAAGAGCTAACCAGCATGGCCCTATCAAGATCCCCTCCTGCACACCAGACTGACTTTATATCCTTTTTTGACAGGGTTACCAAAATGGCTTAATGAAGGAATGCTGTGGATGTTGTTTACCTAGATTTTAGCAAAGTATTTGATAAATTATCTCATACTATTTTTGTGAAAATCCAGAAGAGATGTGGACTAATCCAATCCAATAAACATTTACTAAGCACTTACTATGTGTCAGGCACTGCTAAGCCCTGGGGATACAATTAATAAAAGGAAAAACGGTCCCTGCCCTTCAAAGAGCCTACAGTGTAATGAACTAGAAGATAATATAATGAAATGGACATGGAACTTGTGGGAAATGGATGGTCTCAAAGAATAGTCGTTAATGGTTTAATATCAACTTGGCAAATGTTCTACAATGGAGTGCCCCAAGTATTAGTGCTTAGGTCTATGCTATTTAACATCTTTATCAGTCAAATTTGTAGATGACAAATCATGGATAGCTAGTACCCTGAATGACAGAGTTAGGATTCAAAAAGACCTTGACAGGCTACAGTACTGGGCTGGATCTAGTCAGATAAAATTCAATAAAGATAAATGTAAAGTCTCACTCTTGGGTCCAAAAATTCAGTTTCATAATTACAAGATGGGGAAGGCTTGGTCGAGGCAGCTGTTGGTCTGAAAAATATCTGGGGCTTTTTAGAGGAGTGCAAACTCAATGGGAATCAGCTGTGTGATGTGGCCGCCTAAAACATCCAAGGTGATCTTGAGCTGCCTTGAGAGGCACAGTGTTCAGGAGTAAGGATGTCATAGTTCCATAGTACTCCATCCTAGTGGGATAAGTTCTGGATACCATGGTGTTTGGGCATTGATGAACTGGAAAGCCTCCAGAGGACAACCAGGATGGTGAAGGATGCCGTGAATGCCATAGGGAGGCTCAAGTGAAAGAATTGGGGATGTTTAGCCTGGAGAAGAGAAGACTCACGGAGACCGTAAGAGCTGTCTTCAAAGAGTTGAATCTGCTGAAAACAGGTTAGACTTGCTCTATTTAATCCTGGGGGAAGAATCAGGAGCAATGGATAGAAGGCGCAATGAGGCAAATTAGGCTTCATGTCAGGAAAAACTGCCTGGCAATCAGAGTTAGCCCAAAGTGTATTGGGCTGCCTTGAGAGGCAGTGAGTTCCCCGTAACCCACTCTGGAGGTTCTCAAGAAGAAGATGGAGGAAAATTTGTCAAGTGGATTGTAGTGGAGATTCCTTAAGTGAGCGGGTTGGACTAAACAGTCAGTGAGAGCCTTTCCAACTCTAAAGTCCTGAGATTCTTTCACTGTGTCACACCTTGTGACTGCAATGCATAATGTTCAGTATGCTTTCCTTCCTTTCACTACCTGGCTCATATGTCGCTCTCCATGCTAAACCATCATTTCCTGCCTGACTGCATCCTTCTAGATTTCATCAGCGTTCTCCAGGAATCTCATAGTCCTTCAAGATCACACTAACCTTGAATCTCACGCCTGCTCAGCACACCCCTATTCCTGTGGTGCCTCCCTCCCTTTGATTGGAGAGGGAAGAGGGTGAACAGAGAGTGCTCCTTCCATATCCTCCATCTAAGGAGGGCACACAGGGCACCATCTCTTCATTTCCCACAGTGTGCACTGCCCTGGACTTCATCATGTCCCAATACAGTATACCCTTCCCCTCTTTACAGCTGCTTTTTATGTATTGTCTCTCCCGTTAGATCATGAGCTCTGTGAGGATGGAGATTATCTTTTGTCTTTGTTTGCATCCCCGACACAGTGCCTAGCACATAGTAGGCACTTAAGAAATTTTTGTTGACTGTTTGCTGAACCCTGCCATCATTCTCCCTGACTTCTATATCCATGTTGATGATTTCTCTAACACCATGGCCTCTTAGTTTATCAACCTCCTCCATTCCTTTGACTTCCATCTTTACTTTTTCTCAACCACCCACAATAGAGGTGACACTTTAGACCTCACCATCACCCATAACTGTTCCCCTGGACTATCACTAAGATGATAATGACAATTCAAGTACTTAACCTATACTATGTGAAAGCATTTGAAGAATTCTCTACTGGCTATTCTGTAAGCTTGGATAAGAATCCAAACATAGGTCACTGTAATGTACAATATTACATATTATATGCTTTAGGGAGTTATAGGCAAAGTACTATCTAGGGTTCAAAGGGGAAGGCTACTGCTGACAGAGGGCTCAAGCAAGGTTTTATGGAGGTAATGGCATTTTAATCTGGATTTAAAGGATGTATAGGAAGTCAACAAGGGAAGAGGCAGACAAATTCTAGGCACAGAACTCAGAGTGAACAAAATCACAAGGGCTGGAGAATTCAAACTATATTTGGATACAGAGAGTGCTCCAGTTTGAAGTGGAGGGAGTAAAAGGTATGTAAGGAGCAATATGAAGTAAGTCTAGAAACAAAGGGCAGCATCAAAGTCTGAAGGCCTTTAAAGGCCAGGGAAATTAATTCTAAATTTACTCGCGGGGGAAAAGAGAGCCCCTGGTTGGTTGGTTGGTTTTTGAGCTAAGAAGTGACAGAGCTGTGCTTAAGGAAGATTATTCAGAAAGTGATATGAAGGATGGATTGGAGGGAGGGAGAGTAGGGACAGGCAGACCACTAAGGAAGCAATTATCTAGGCAGGTGGTAATGAGGGCCTGAAGTAGGGTAGTGGGAGGAGGATTAATGCAAGCAGGGACTGTGAGAGAACTGGCAATGATGGAATCAATAGGCCTGGGTAACCAATTGGATATGAGGGAAGGGCGAGCCAACATCCAGTATTACGTGAATCTCTCTGGCTGATTGGTTTCCCCAAAGATCAGCCAAAATGAAACTGACCAGCACAACTGAGTTGACTTCAGTTCCTACAGTATCTGCTGGGAACTACTGGTTTGGAATGCAGTCCAGGTGTATTTCAGTCATCTCTCCTCTGTGGAATTTCCCAATGGCCAGCCAAGAATCATGGAGTTACTTTTTTTAAAGAGGAAATTTAATGAAATTCTTTAGTCTTATCACATTCCAAGAAAGTCATAGAGTGTTTGGTTTTAATATCTAACTTGCCACAGCTTATAAAATAAACGTATCATCCAAGATGGGATCTCTTTTGCCAACTCAGCGTGCCTAGGTTTTGTTTTTCAGGCTGTGGTGGTGACAGATGGAGAACGCATCCTGGGCCTTGGAGACCTGGGCTGCTATGGCATGGGCATCCCAGTGGGCAAACTCGCATTGTATACTGCTTGTGTTGGAGTGAATCCACAGCACTGCCTTCCAGTTCTGCTAGATGTTGGCACTAACAATGAGGTAAGAGGCCCAGCACATGGGAAAGAAGGAGATGGGTATAAAGATGTTCCCTCAACCAGGGATACCCAAGCAAAACAGCACCTAGAAGAGTGGGTAGGGCAGGGGGAAAGAGAAATAAGTTATACTTGGGAATAAAGTATCCAGGGCATGTGAAGGAAATATTCTCGGAGTGAATGGAGAAACAGAACCTCCAATTCCAGGGAGAAAAGATAGAAGGATGACACAAAAGGTGTATAAAAGAATGATAGTTTAACTATATGAAAAAATGAATCTTGGTGTATATATATGGAGGAATGATATTTAAATATGACACATAGGGATTATAGAAGAAGAATAACTAGGGTATGAATGATACTTGGAGTAGTGACAAATGCTGTCCAGAGCTTTTAAGGAAAATTCTGCTCATAGTTGGTTTGTTTGGGTTTGGGATATGTTTTGGAGGGTGGTCAGTTGAACCTGGGAAGCTGATTAGGATGAGAACAGGTATCTGCTCTGCAACTTATAGTCTTAGAGTTCTCTGGGACCCTGAGAGCTTAAGGGACTTGTCCAGAGCTAGTATATGTCAGAGGTGGGGTTTGAACCCAGGCCTTCCTGACTCTGAGGCCAGCTCCCCATCCACAATGCCTCCCAAGGTCCATAATGTTTAAAGAAATGATGCCAAATATACATGAAAGAAAGGTGTAGACACATCTGGATGTAAGAAGGAGTAATTCACAGGGTGTATAGGTGAATAATGCCAAATGCCAGTGGACAAAATGGTGCGTGGACATATGGAACGGTGCAGTGGAGAGAGCACTATGCTTGGAGTCCAAGGATGTGAGTTCACATCCTGACTCTTACCACTTGTGTGATTTTGGGGAAATTGCTTTACTTTTCTGATCCTCAGTTTTCTATAAAAGAAGGGCATTGAAGTAAATGACATATGAGGTCTCTTCCAACTCTAGGCCTGTGATCTTATGATCTATGACCTCTATTTTTACCTTTTTATCTTCAAGGCCTACTACTGTGCTTAGTCACATATCATATGGCTATCCGGGAGAATAGTGAAAACAGTGGTCAGGGTGTAGGGGAGAAATAACTAGAACATATTAGGGAAACCAAGTCTATGTAAAAAAAAATAATTTTGAATCTTGGAAGCTCAATTGGATCTTTCTGCAGAGGAATGGTATCTAGGTTTGTTTGTACTCATAATAGTCTTTTGCTCAGTGGGCTCTATGAGTCTGTCTTTTTGTTCCCCTGGCCAGGGCTAGCCCTCAGCAAAATTATGGGCACTTGTCCTCCATAAAGACCAACACCTCCTATATGCACCCCCCATCCTCCTTGTCTCCCTTTTCCTGTACCTTCAGGTATCTATTTGACCTGTGGCTACCTTCCTCCCCACCCCACCCCCCACTTAGGCCTAACCTCCTAGATTCCAAAATTACTTTCCCTTATGCTCTTCCTATTTCCAACACCATAATAAAAACCCACCAACAACTTCCTTATTTTTTCAGGTGAATCTGTTTCAAGGAGGTAGGAAGGGGAAAGATGTAAAGGCCAGGGTTAAAAAAAAAAAACCAAGGAGACTGACTTACATGACTTTTGAGGTGCCTTCCAACTTCATTCCCAAAGGAACAAATTTCTAATGAGGAAATCCAAACATAAGGACAAAGATGGTAGAGAAACTATTGTGGGAGGAGAGAGATGATACAGAGGCTTTCTTAGTGCTGCTTAAATCCCCATACTTACACCCAAGGCTAGTGTGGTCCCCTCAACAAAATGAATTCAGCAATCTGGTCATGGGAACCGAAGAACTGGCATAAAAAAACCACCAAGAAGGGACCAAAAAAAAAAATCTCAGCCTGGCATGTACAGGCCTGCTTTCCTGTGGTCAGGGTAAGGAAACTGACCCATTCACAGGAGGGCAGTTTGGAGTTGATGGTGTGGCAGCTGCAAAGGTTTCCAGGTGGTTTGGGCCTAATTAACTTCAGGCATCTGTCCTGAGGCTAGCTGCCCTCAGCTCTAGGCAAGCCATGGCTTTGCATCTGTTAGCAGTTTCCGTCCCCATGACTCTGACTCAGAAAAGATGATATTTGGCCTTCTATTCCTTGCCAATAAAGACATCTGCAGGGATATTTTTTCAATAAAAAAAATACCACATCTTTAAATGTGGCCGGCTATATTGCAGGACTCAGCAACTGAGGTCCGGTGACCCCCCATATTAAAAAAAAAAATAGAGAAATTCAGGGGGGTGGTACAACTGGGACATAGGCAGTGTGAGTTAAGAGTTAGAACCATGTAGGCTTTAGCCATGGGATGGAGTACAGAAGAGAACAATTGGGCTATCATTGCTAAGGGTCTAGGGGAGGCAGTGTGATTGGCAGAGAACGTCTGAACTAGGAGTTAGGAGGCCTGGGTCCTATCCCAGACTCTGCCACTGTGTAGCTGGGGGACGACGTTGGATTGACCACTTTGTCTCTCTAGGTCTTTGATTCCTCGTTGGTCAAATAAACAGGTTGTAGGAGACCCCCTTGGCTGGAAGTAGGCCCCTAATAAGAGCATGTTGGATATGAAAATGAACATCTGTGAAGTCCCTTCCATCTGGAACAGTCTATGGAAAGAGCACCAGATTTGTAGTCAGAAGCCTCGGCTTGGAATTCTGCATCTGCTACCTTGAGCAAGTCATTTGAGTCTCAGTTTCCTCATCTGTAAAATGAGAAAATGGTACTAAAGGATCTTTCTAAGGTCTCTACCAACTCTAAATCCTAGGATTTATGATCTACGTTTCTTTTCTGAAAATCCCCTTCTCCCTCCTTCATACCTCACTCATAAGACAATTGGCCAGCATACATTTATTAAGCTCCTACCTTGTGCCAGGCACTAGCACTGGGAATACAAAAAGAGGCAAAAAGATGATTCCAGCCCTCAGGGAGCTTATTAGTCTAATTAGGGGGTGGGGTGGGGGTGGGGAGAGAAAACATACAAAAGGAAAAAGGTGACTGAAAATCCTAGGGTGTGGAGAGGGTGAGGGAGGGCTGGGGAAGCTGCCCAATATGGAGGCGTGGTGGAAAACTCAGAGAAGTCTCAAATAGAGCACCCAGGTGAGAAATAACATGTTCAGAGCTGAGTTGCCTTCTTCAGTGGAGGTTTCGGAGTTCTTGGCTCCACCCTCAGGTCAGAGGGGCAGAGAGTGGTGATGAAGCTGATGCGATCTTAAAGGATGATTAGGTCTTCCCAATAATGAGCTTCCTGGAGCGTGGTGGATAAATCAGAGAAGTCCCAAAGTAGAGCAGGCAAGTAAGAAATGGGATAGAGCTCCTCTGGCTAGCTTCTCTGGTGAGTAGAGCCTCGTCTGAAGCCTCATCTGGAGGCAGAAAGTCTACCTAGGTTATAGGACCTAGTTCCATAGCCTCTTAAGCATGAAATTTAAAGTGAGAAAGGGAATTAAGAGCAAGAGTAAAGGGGAAAGAGGGAATAATAATAATATGGAATCCTCTGTATTATTGAGGCTAATTGCCCAGCTCTGATTTTAGAGTATGAACTTTCTTTCTCAGATCATACCTACGTTCTTTCTGAGAATGGGAGTTTGGGTGTGAGAGTGGACATGTGTGTGTGTATGTGTGTATATATCTATATCTATATATACATATCTCTATCTATCTATCTCTATATCTGTATATACATACACGGTTGTATTTTGCTTTCAAGACTACTTGGGGACCTTGGTTTTAAACCGATGAAGTACTTTAGGCTAAGAATCTTGACCTTTCCCCTCTACTACCACTGCAAGGCTATTCATATCATATAATAATAATTGCTGACATTTATGTAGTTCTTTATATGCGTTTGCTCATTTGATCATCATAGAAATTCTGTAAGGTAGATCCTACAGCTATTTTTAACCTCATTTTACAGGTGAGGATACTAAGGTTCAGGAAGGGAGGCAGTGTGGTACAGTGGAGAGAACACTGGCTTAGAATTAGAGGATCTGGGTTCAAATCCTGCTTCTGATGCCTCCTTCTTTTTTGATGTTTTAAACAATTCTCTTAATCTTCTTGTGCCTCAGTTTCTTTATCTGTAAAATGAAGGGATTGGACTAGATGGCCTCTGAGGATGGATGTAAAAGAAAAAAAAAGCAACTCCCTAACAATTTTGTTATTTTTATTATTTGTTATTTTGGGGTGGGTTTTTTTTTTGTTATTTAGTCATTTTTCAGTTGTGACTGAAAAGAATGGAAGGCAGAAACCCTATTTGGGGTTTTCTTGGCAAAGATACTGGAGTGGCTTGCCATTGCCTTCTGCAGCTCATTTTAATAAATGGGGAAACAGGGGCAAACAGTTTCTAAGTGACTTACCCAAGGTTACACAGATAGGAAGTGTCTGAGGCCAGATCTGAACTCAGGAAGGTGAGTCTTCCTGACTCCAGGCCCAGCACTTTATCCACTGTACCATCTAGCTGCCCCAGTTAGAGCTGTAAAAAAATGGAATGGGATGCCTGGGGGAGGTAGTGGGTTTCTCATCATTGGAAATCTATTAATGGAGAATGGGCCATCATCTAGGGAAAGGAAATCCTTTCCCTGGTATGGGTTGGACAAGATGACCTCTGATCTCCTTCCAGAGCTGAGATTCGGGGTGTGTGTGTGTGTGTGTGTGTGTGTGTGTAGTTTGGACAGGAATAGGTGATGGCAGGAGTAGAGAAGTCTCAGACCCAGACTCATCCTTGTCTTTATTCTTCTCTTCCTGGTCCTATGAGGATGTAAAAGAGGTAAAGGTAAGATATTAGGGGACTCCATTTTACCAAGCAGAAAACTTAACCCTTCAAAATGAGGTGATTTGCTCAGTCTCAGAAATTACTTTTTTCATAGATTAATAATTATTACTGGGTCAGCTAAGGTATGATCACAAAGAACAATCAGCCCTGTAGCACAATAAATGATTGAGGAATTAAACAATGTACAAATAATTAACATGAGGCAAAGAATAAAAGAGGCGTTTAGCTATTATAGATAAATAATCCATTTT